ATGTCATTGTCATCTACATACACCAATAACACAACAATCCTGCCATGCACCCATTTAGTAAAGAGTGAGTAATCTGAAGCTTATTGAGCAAATCCATTCTTCAATAGGAATCCAGTTAGTCTTGCAAACCATTGTCTTGATGCTTGTTTGAGGCCATATAATGATTTCTTGAGCCTGCAAGCCATTCCCTTTGGATTTACACCCTACAGATCAAGTTCCAAAGGTATCTTCATATACACCTCTTCCTCTAAATCTCCATGGAGAAATGCATTTGAAACATCCAGCTGTTCCAGTGTCCAATTTTTTATGCCACTACTAAGAGTGCTTTTACTGAGTTGATTTTAGCTACTGGTGAAAAAGTGTCTAGGAAATCAATTCCATAGACTTGAGTGTATCCTTTTGCCACCAGTCTAGCCTTAAATTTCTCTATGGAACCATCTGCCTTCCTTTTGATTTTGAACATCCACTTATATCCAATGGCTTTCTTTCCATCTGGCAACTTCACTATGTCCCATGTTTGGTTATGCTCTAAGGCTCCAAGTTCTTCCTGCACAGCCATGTTCCACACATCTGACTGCATTGCCTCATAATATGTAGCTGGTTCAATTTGAGAGATGGCACTCAAGGAAAATGCCTTGTCATCAGAGTTTAAGTGATCTAAGTCAAGATAGATGGGATACTTAGATACTGCAACACATGAGTCAAAAGCCCCAAAACTTAGATCAAGATCCAGTTCACAGTTGTCAAACATAGCAGACAGCTTATGAGTCCTTTGTGGTCTCATTGGAGGTTCATAATCCTACTGTGGTTGTAATTCTGCTTCCATCTCAAAGTCCTTAGGATTATTAGGTGGGTCAGGTGCATTGTTTCAGCATCCTCATCATTCTCAGCTGCATCTGTAATAGGGATAGGTTGGCCCCCATCAGCAGAGGGTGATACAGGAGGTGGATTAGGAGAGGATGAAAGCATCAACAAACCATGAGCAGTAGAACTAGGCTGAGAAGTTGAAAGGGTGGTATCAGAAGGAGGAGAAGACTCGATTAGAGAACATGAGGAGTGTGAATAATGTCGGAAAGAGAGAATAGACTCATGAAACCCTACATCCCTGGATATAAAAACATGATTTTTTTGAAGGTCAAGTAGTTTATATCCTTTAAGTCCTGCAAGAATACCAAGTAAGACACATTGTCTAGCCCTAACATCAAATTTGGATCTCCCAGCTGCTATGATACTTGCATACACCAAACAACCAAACACCCTTAGATGGCCTAAGAATGGAGCTTTTTTGTAAAGAGCCTCATAGGGTGAAATGTTGTGCAAGACTGGTGTGGGAAGTCTGATAATGAGGTAAATTACATGAAAGATGCAGTCACTCCAATACATTGGTGTGCCAGATTGAAACCTAAGTGATCTAGCTACATTTAAATGTGATGATGCTTTCTCTCTACCCTAGCATTCTGCTCTGGGGTATAAACACAGGACATCTGGTGCTCTATACCTTATGCCATGTAATAATCACACATATCAAACTCCCTACCTTGATCACTTCTTATAATCTTTACTATGGTTCCAAACTGGTTCTTGACCAATTGACAGAAACCTTTGAACAAATCCTTGACCTCACTCTTGTGTTTCATCAGATAAACCCATATTGCTTGAGTGCAATCATCATCAACGGTTAAGAAATAGACATAACCATCATAGGAAACAACAGACAAAAAGCCTCATATGTCAATATGAATTAACTGAAAAGATTTTGTTGCATGACTAATACTAACAGGAAATGGTTGTCTCTTGTGTTTGGAAAAATGACAGACATTACAATGTTCTGGCTTAGAAATGTAAACAGAAGAATCTAGATTATGCAATAAAGTTTGCCTATCACTACTGGGATGTCCTAGTCTTTAATGCCATAGACCAACTTGGTGGTGATGAAAGTTGTTGACACCGGAAGCTTGAGGGAAATGGACTGGATGTGTGGAAGAAGGGCGGGCAAAACTGAGTTGATAGAGTCCTCTAGATTCTCTTGCTAAACCAATCATCGTCTTTTTTTAACAGGTCCTGGATTTGACAAAGATCAGAATGGAAGTGTCAGGCTAGGGGTAAATCACGTGTGAGCCTACTGAATGGAACTAGATTAAAAGAAAAACTAGGAACCAGGAGCACATAGTACAAATGCAACCCTGTTGGAAGTATGACAGTCCCTATGTGTGATACTGGAACCTTGGCGGTGTTTGGTAGATGCACAAATGTATCGTGAACTCACTTATAATCAATGAATAAATCCAGAAAACAAGCTATATGATCTGAGGCACCTGTGTTTAGGATCCATAAATTGACTAAGTGGTTACTGTCTATGTTTAATAAAGAAGAAAGAATATATTTACCTTCAAAGTTGGGAAAGGGTGGTAAATACTAACACAGAGAAAGCTTGGTGTCGAATGGAAGAAGAATTAGGAGGTGAAGGTGAAGAATTTGGCAGAGAAGGGGATAAGGTAGTACGAGCCTGCAACATATACCTCAACCTTGTCATTTCCTCAGGTGTAAAACCAAGTTTAGTTCGACTTACAGTGCTAGCATCACTGCTACAGCTGGCTTCAGTTTGGTTCTCACTACCACTTGAACTTCCCTAATAAACTAAACTAGCAAACCTTTGATTTTCAGGCTGTGTATTTTCATCCTTCTAAGCAACCTCTTTCTTCTTCTTCTTCTTCTTCTTCTTCTTCTTCAATCTCCAACATTCTTCTATATAATGATTGGTATGCTTACAAAACCTGTAAAACTTCTTCCCTGACCCTGGTCTCCCATCTCATTGTCTCGTGTTCCTTCTCCTCCAACTACCAATGCAACTGATTGCCCCTTCTTGGCTCTACCATGTGCTTTCACTTCTTGCTAATACAGCACAGATCATCTGCTGCTATGGTGACTGTTGCCAGTGGTTTCAGCATCAACAATTGTTTCTTAATGATCTCAAAATCTGGGTTCAAGCACCTGAGGAAACGAATTAGATAATTTGTTTCATGATTCCTTTCAAAGGCATCTACTATTGTGCAGGGATTGGTATTTCCTGGAAGACAATTACATGCTACAATTGGGTTGTATTCTATATACCCATCCCATAAACCCTTGATCTGAGTGTAGTACTGGGTGATGCTAAGTGTGCCCCGTTTGCACTTGTGAATTTCATCTTCCAAATTAATCAGCCTATTTGCATTCAGTTTTCCAAAACTTTGTTTTAGTTCATCCCATAAAACCTTAGCATTATCATGCCTTATAACAGAATGCCTGATATCTTTGTTTAGCGAGTTTAAGATCCAGGTATGCACAATTGTATTGCATCCATCCCACAGATGAAATTGTGGATCTGTAATTGCTAGTCTGGGTAGAGACCCATCCACAAAACCCATTTTGTGTTTCGTTTTCAGAACATTCATCACAGATCTACTCCACATGCTATAGTTATTCCCATCCATCAACTCAAAAACAATAGGTAAACTCAGATTCTCGTTTGGGTTCAGGTAGAGAGGATTACCAAACATAATGACCTTTGTTGCTTGTTTGGCTCGCATTTCCTTCAGCTCCAAACGATCCAAACTGCATATTTTGTGCATCTGTGACTCGTGCTCCGCTGCCGGAGTTTGGCGCTGTAGTGGGTGATGGTGTGACTGACATTGCGGTGTCCTTTTAGAACGGCCACTCTGATACCATAAGAGAAAACTTGCAAGGGTTTTTGGAAGGGTTGATCTTGAGCTTCTCTGAGATCACCTTGTTTGTTTACATAGCTCAGCGGAAAGTAAATGACGAATTGATTACAGAGCACTGCCACTTGGCTGCTTTCCATTCGTCCACTTAAAGACTTTTTGTTTCCTGTTAGTCATTTTTCGAGTAGTAGGGACCCAAGGGAGAAGGAGACTGGTGGGTATGCATTAATGGTTTTGGTTTGCAGATGAAAACGATAGAGAGAAAAATAGATGAAAAGAATGGAAATGGTGCATGGAGGATCGGCGAAGGACGCCGACGACGGTACCATAGGTGGCAATTTGGGAGAGATTTCTCGCCGACGCTGACATAATCTTGAGGCCCAAATCTAATTTCAATGAATCTCTCGGGGCGCCTCTCCATGGTGGCGACGACGGTGAGCGGATCGAGACGTTCATTCATAGTGGGTTCTCTCCGCTCGCAGAGGACAACGTCCACCACGAAGAAGTGCTTCCTCGATGCTATAGGACATGCATGCGAGAAATCTATGTAGGGGAAGAAGATTTGTTGGGCGACGATTAGAGAGATAGGTGGGTTGGGGAGATCGAGAAAGAGTGGAGGTGGGCGACGATTAAAGAGAGGAGGGTTGGGGAGATCGGGAGGAAGTGAAGGTGGGCGGCGATTAGACATAATAAGAAGATGGGAGGGCTGGTACTCGATTATTCGGTATACTGAGTAACCCCCGGTTACTAACTAGGTATAAATCAGTATACTAATAGCTGAACTTTGGCGACCGTATACCGGTTATGCCAGTTAACGGTATAATCGGCGGTATTGGTTCGATTATCGATTATACCGTTAATTGCAAAATTGTTTACTACTCCTAATTTAGAGATAAAGGGGTGGGATGAATAGCGGGGTATGATTTGGGAAAGAGAAACATGTGTCCCCTATCCTTCTATTCATTTTTTTCGGGTTAACGGTTTGCCAATTAACCGCACGAAAATTAATGATTATTCGTTTCAGCTAATCAATAATCCTGGTTGGAACCAGTAGTCAATTAACGATTATTTGGTTCAGTTAAATCAAAACCGCACCTATTATCATTTCTTATCTCCAATGATTTGTCTATATGAAATTTGTCTAAAGTATTATACTAACCAACCATTATTATTGTGAAATACTCCTTTTGTTTTTTACTACTGCTTTTTCCTTCTTTTTTTTTTCATTTTACATTTTCGATCCTTTTGGAGAGTTTTTTTTGTCTTTTGTTTTTCGTTTATAATATTTTACGCTTTTGAGCTGGTGTGCTTTGCCTTTGTGTGCGTTCGAGGACTGTTTTTGGGTGATTTTGTTATCTTTGAGACAGACATTTGCTGTTCTGAACTGAGATTTTGTGCTGCTCTTCTTGTTGCTCGTTGAACTGGGACGAGGAACAACTGAGTGAAGCCACAGCCAAAACCCAGAAAACAAAAATCTTCGCTACACCCGGCGCCTTTGTTCTTTTGTTCCTTGTCTCTTTCTCCAATAATGTTTTGTTTTGTGGTTTGATCCGTTTCATGTGATCTCCGCCTCGTTTCCTCAACTGGGTCCTCGTAGGTTTTGATGAGGAATTGCAAAAGTTGAGCGCTTTCTTGTGTGTTTGTTTTTTTCTGGGTTTTATAGCGCTCCAGTTTTCTGCCCTTGTCAAGTGGTGCGATTCTGGGTTTTGAAGAAGGTTGGTTTTTTGGTTGGATGGTTTGGGGATTTTGTCGGTGCTTGGATGAGAAGTGGGTTTAGGCGTTTAGGGTTCGTCCTCCAAGATGGTATTAAGCGGCGAGAATGGTAATTTGAAGTCTCCATCTCGTCTCGAGTTTCAATCTAAAGGAAAGAAGAAGAAAGAGAAGAAGAAGAAAAAGAAGCAGAGGAAGGACAGTGGTGGCGTCTCTGGCTTCGCTGAGGACTGTATTCAAGAGTCGGACCCAGGTTGCTGGCTGCAATGGAGGCTTCTAGGCAGCTGCATTTCTTCAAGATCCAAGATCGATAGTTCTGTTAGTGGGCACAGCACTAGTTATGGTAAATCCTTCTCTTCCCTCCAGTCGAGTTTTGGTTGATTTTTAAGTGTATTCAGTTTTACCGCTTTCGAATCTTCAATGTGTTTGTTTAATTGTTCGATTTTGTACATTGATTTGATTGGAATTTGGTTCGAGCTATGTTTGTCAGTACTGATTTTAGAGCCTTGGTTATGAATATGGTTAAGGACATGGTCTTCAATAGAGCTTGATTACGTGCCTAATAGAGTAATAGTGAAAAGCAAAGGATGACGCTTGCCGTAGTATGTGTATGCAATTCAAGTGAAAATAATTGTTTGAAAAGAGGAATGTCTTTGAATTACTCTTTTTTGTTTTTTGTTTGTCTTTCTGCTCGAGTTAAGCAGTCATTGTTCTAGCCTGCCTGTTTGTTTTCGGTTGCTGTGGGAATAACATGGACAACTCATTTGTGGTTCAGCTGAAAGTAAATCTACAATTGACACTAGCAAAGACCAGCCGACTGCTCCCATCGTCCCATCTACAACAACAAGTAATACCGAAAGCCATTCATCTACTTCCAAACTAGAGGAGGAGCTTAAAGTTGCTTCTCGGTTGCGAAAGTTCACTTTCAATGATCTGAAGTTAGCAACAAGGAATTTCAGACCTGAGAGCCTTCTTGGCGAGGGCGGCTTTGGTTGTGTGTTTAAAGGTTGGATTGAAGAGAATGGAACTGCTCCGGTGAAACCTGGCACAGGGCTTACTGTTGCTGTTAAGACCCTTAATCATGATGGACTTCAGGGTCATAAAGAATGGCTGGTATGGAGTGGGTCTAATCTATTATGTGCATCATGTTATGATTGTGCAGTTTCTTTTCATCCTTTTCGCTTGTCAGTTTCTTTTCAACAATTCAACTACTTTGCTTCAATGTCTTGGCTTTGATCTCAATTTCTGTGCATGTGGCAGGCTGAAGTGAATTATCTAGGTGATCTTGTACATCCCAACTTGGTTAAGCTTATTGGTTATTGCATTGAAGATGATCAAAGGCTTTTGGTTTATGAGTTCATGCCGCGAGGAAGCTTGGAGAATCACTTATTTAGAAGTATGTTAGATCTTTTGTCTTTCTTCCTGCACTTCATGACCTTAGGACATCATGCTATAATTTCGGAGTTCTTCAGAAAATAAGTCAGGAATCTCTACCATTGAACAGAATATTGAATGTTATATGATTATGCCTCACCAACCATAACTTTCCACTCTGCCAAATTGGGTATGTGCATTGAGTGGTTCATATGTTTGTCTATCAGATCTACTTCAAATTTTGCTAACCTATGGTAGATGTGCCACTTTGGTAATCTGGTCTTAATTTAACTGTACTGCTATTCCATATGGGTTAGCTGTCTATTTTCCTTGACGAGGAAATTTTAACGAATCAAACTAGTTTTGTTTATTACCCATCTGGTTGTAGCCTTTTTTAGATCAAACTGAAACTGTTTTGGTTATACCACATATATTTACCACCACTTACAAAGTTGCTCTTGTTATCATGATCCTTTGGTTATTTCCCTCTAATAGAAGTGCATTGTTCCCAGGGTCTTTGCCTCTTCCGTGGTCCATAAGGATGAAAATTGCGCTTGGTGCTGCAAAGGGCCTTGCATTTCTTCACGAAGAAGCAGAAAGACCAGTTATTTATCGCGACTTCAAAACTTCAAATATCCTTTTGGATGCGGTAGGTAGTAGTGTCTGTTGGAATCCTTTTTCTTCCTATATTTGGATTTAATTATGATCTGTGTGTGTATTACAGGACTATAATGCAAAACTCTCTGACTTTGGACTAGCGAAAGATGGTCCTGAAGGAGACAAGACTCATGTGTCAACTCGTGTCATGGGGACTTATGGTTATGCTGCACCTGAGTATGTAATGACAGGTCAGTGCTCTTATGCTATCATTTTTGTGATTACGTGAGAAAGGTAATACCCTATATGATCTTCTGCAATTCATATTTAGCGGATCTGAAATTAACTGAAGTTTTATGGAAATGTTTTTTATTTTCTGGTACGACTATAGTTGTATCATGATCGCATGTTGTTACTCAAGGGGGAATATCTTTAGATTTTATGAAAATTCTTTTGCTGCTTTTCTATGTTGCCAGGACATCTGACATCAAGAAGCGATGTCTACAGCTTCGGAGTGGTGTTGCTTGAAATGATTACTGGCAGAAGATCGATGGACAAGAACCGGCCAAATGGAGAGCATAATCTGGTAGAATGGGCGAGGCCACATCTTGGAGAGAGGAGGAGGTTTTATCGACTGATAGACCCTCGGCTAGAAGGCCATTTCTCCATAAAGGGTGCCCAGAAAGCTGCCCAGCTAGCTGCTCACTGCCTAAGCCGTGATCCAAAAGCTAGGCCACTGATGAGTGAAGTTGTGGAGGTTCTGAAGCCTCTGCCGAATCTAAAAGACATGGCAAGCTCATCGTATTACTTCCAGACAATGCAAGCTGAGAGAATGGCAGCAGCGAGTCCTAATTCCAAAAATGGCATGCGGACAACACAGCCAGGTCTATTGTCTCGAAATGGGCATCAACCAAGAAGTCTTTCGATACCTAATGGATCACATGCTTCTCCTTACCATCATCAACATCCTCATCATCATCAGTCCCCTAAACCCAATGGCAAACACTAGATCAGAGTTCGGTAGTAGTTATCTCCATCTTGTTTGTCTTTCCCGCCTCCTTCTCCGTAGAGATGTATCTCCCCGTGAAATCATTTGTTCTTGAACAACTGAAATATGGAAAGAAGGCAACTTTTGTGTTTTAGAGTGATGGTATCTCCCAGCAGGTGGACAATGTTGTAGGTCATGTGGAAGCTTGTTGAAGCAAAATGCATTAAGAAAGTTTGTAGTTGTGCTACTCTGTTTGGAATGCAAAGATATTATCACAACCCATCTAACCATCATTTTCACACCTCAATAATTCACATTTGATTAACAGTTACGTCAAACTGGTTTCTGGATTTGGCATTGTTTCCAGCTAACCATCTTTCAACTACTAGGATACACGAAGTCTGTCCAGACAACTGTGATTACTGTATTACATTGGAGGCATTTTCACAATGAGAGGCTAAAACCATTTATTCTAGGCAATTATCAAGAGAAGAAGGTAAAGCAGCCTTCAGATGCTTGAGGGCCATAATAACCAGTTGGAGGACCAAATCCTTTTATATTTGCAGTTGGAACTGTTTCTCATGCAGCTCTTGTTACTTGCTCTTGAGATGTGCTTTCAAAGATCTTATCAGCATTTCCAACCTCAAACCCGTCTCGCCTGTGAAACTCCTTAACCTGTTGAATTACCAGCAGTACGACTTTTAGGCAATGCTAATCTTGAAGATACACTTAAAACAGATCTAAGAGAAACATGTGAAGATCTTCAGGGTTTGTTGTGGATAACTGGAACAAAGTGGGTTCACATTCATTACCTCATCATTTGGAAGATTCTTGTACTGCGGCAAGACAAGGCGTTCTGCGAACTCAATGTAGGAACAAGGGACTGGTTCAACAGCACCATCAGAAAATCGGAAAGGCATTGAATCTGCAACAGTGGAGCTCTGCAGCAGAAGACCATCAGGGCTCACTGGACGGAACAAAAAAACAGAAGTATGGCCCTTTATCAGTCGGTCTTGTCTTTGATGAACAGTGAAGATGGTTGACAGTGACATCCAGCATTCTATACAAGAGAGAACCGCCACAATGTTAGCTAATAATCCTACCTTTCAGGAGACCACCCTCAGAGTTCAATTTGAAGCCGTTCTCTTCAATGAACCGATTGAGACTGTTGATCTGGCTCAAGTTAGATTTCAGCCGATGAGTGGAGATGGTGACATGATTCAGAGCATAGCCATTGACAAGGGTCCATGCAGCATACTCGCTCTCCCTACACATTCAAAACCAAGGCTCTTTACACCATAAAACCTAATGCTAGTTAACACTGGCAATAGGAATTTAACTACCTTGCCAACTGCTGAAACTCAGAATGCATAGGCTTCTTCCATGTCAAAGTTCCAAGAGCACTTGCAAGAGCTGCATACTTGTATCCGCTGCTCGAGATTTCGACATACTTTCTAATTATTTCCTGAAAGAAAGAAATACAGTTCAAACACCATCCAACAAATCATGCCAGGTAAGTGAGTATGTTCTGTCAATGATGTGCTTTCCTAAGAAATAGACATAAGGGATGATGAGCCAAGATACAAGGTAAGGACTAAACTAACACTCCCATGTTCTAAAGTCTAAACTGACATTCCTTTAATCCTCTCTAATAGAGAGACAGCTAGCAAGCAATCAATTTTCCAGAAAGCAAACCAGAGAATTCACATAGAGACTTGTGTACAATGGTTTTGATGGAATTCCCACCTGAGCTTGTGGACTCATTTGATCAACAAGTAACTCCGATATGAAGACCCTTGGCAACGGCCCGTGGATACGGCTGCCACCATTAGCAGCTGAAACACTGGGAGGTGGTGAAAACCACAGTGCTTTGAGTTTCTTGGCAGGGAATCTGAGTTCTTCCATTTGCTTGTATCCATAATCTAGGAAGAAACTAGCCATGGAATCAATCCCATGACCATCCACCTGGAATTATTTTCAACACCCATTTTCCATTAATAAACTACAAACCGCACGACTTGATTGAAATAGCAAAACATACCCCAAATGTTCTGAAAGCAAGGTGATCATAACAGATTCGTTCACCGCCATCAGCCGACTGAACAAGCTCCAAGATGGATTTGGCTGTGGGGTTCCTGCTCAAGTAAACCGATTCCACGTTTTCCAGAACACTCCTGAAAAACGAGTCTGATCCCTCCTGCCATATCGACATCCAAAGACACTGGACAGAGTGAGCGGTCTATTCATTCACAACGGTATCAGGTCATAAGGAGAACGACTGGCCAAACCTGGGAAGATGAAGAAGGCGACCCATTTCCCGACATGGAAGCAGAAGCGCTGCAGAGGCTTCGCCTTCCTCCGCTGAAAATCGGGAACCCAATAGACGATGCAGGTCGAATTCTCAAGGAATCGGCAGTCAGCGGAGATATTGGGGAAAAAGAAGAACTTAGCGATTGAATAGAAGGGAAAGTCGAGGTAGCAGCAGAAGAAGACAAGGAGGTGACATTAAAGGTGGATGATCCGGATAGGGAGAACATTTTCAAGCCAGCTTTCATGGCCGCTTTTGGATGAAATACTGGGAATCTTATATTGGGGTTTTGAATATGGACTTTCTTTCAAGAGGAAAAACAGGGTCTCCCGTCGCCGATCGCTGTTATTTCGGTTGGAGAGTCGGGCGGAACTCCGGAGCTGGGACCTGCTCTCGATTGTTTGATTGTGTAAGTTTCCATATTGAATGCCAAGTGTCGAGCTTTTGTTTTACCAATAAAAAAACTTTGATAAACTTTTGAACAACCAACCATTAGTATATTTCAGTCTTTGTGAAAATATCAATCCGATTAGGAAAACCTTTTACGAGAATCTAAATCGAAAGACGAGTTTTAGCGGTATAAAAATGTTCAACTATGGTAGACCTATCATATAACTAACAATTCTTCTATAATTTCCGATACAATTCCATAGTTCTTTGTATATATTATATATTTTGGTTAAAGTTCTTGGTATGTTTAGGAAAGGAAAAGTAGTTAATTTAGTTGATCTTGTGGTTGATGTGATACCGATATGTGATCGACATAATCAATTTTGTAGTCAACCTAATTTATCAGTATGATCGATCTAAGCAACCTTCTAATTGACTTAATGTGTCAATGTAGTCAACGTGACAATTTTATGATTTACCAAAGACCCCATCCCCAACAAACAAGATTCATTTTGATTTATTCACTTTAATCCTCATTACTCTTTATCATATTATTTCTTAATTCTTTCCAATACTCTTAGTTTGGTTCTATTTTCTTGTTATAAAGAACAAGTAGTATGATTTCTTAATCGTTTGGATGGGTTAATTGTCAATGTGGTATTTGTAGAGTCAAATAACTCATTTATTGTTCATGTGGTATTTCATTGCTAATTGAATTAAAGTATCTCGTTTGGTTGAACCATGCAAATGTTGTATTTGACTTGTGGTATTTGGTAAAAGTAGAGTGGTAAAACAACTTATTTCAAATAACTCGTTTTAAGTTTTTTTTAATAGACGTTTTAAGTTATTTGTAAATGACTCACTGTCCAAATAACTCATTTCAGTAAAACGCTGTCAAACGAGTTATTTGTGTTCAAATAACTCATTGTGAGTTATTTGTGTTTCAAATAACTCACAAATAACTCATATCAATACTCCATCCAATCCTCATTGTCTATTAAAAAAGCACTTAATACTTGATGGGAGTAATGTTGGAATGATGTCATATAACTGTATAAGTAGACTTGAAAATAGTTGGTGAGTAACATGGGAATCATAAAATCTACCACAATCCAACTTTGGGACCAATAAGAATTGACAAAATATTTAACAATAAGAATAGAAAAAATATTTATTTTCAAGGCACGAGTACTGTCATTAATCGACTTGAGAAGGTTCAACGTGACTTTATATGGTCTAGTCTCCAGTGGCCAAGATGATGGGAGGCTTCATTTAGTAGCTTGGAATATTTGCGAAAGACCTAAGAAGTTTGGCGGTCTTGGTATTGCTGATCTCAAGTTAAGAAATCAGTTCTTGTTGTGTAAATGGTGGTGGCGGTTTGCCCTTGAAAGGGGTGTGTGGTGGCGGGAGCTTATCAACATCAATTATCCCAATGATAAGTCGGAATGGATGTCTGGTTCCATACGTGATCCTGCTGGTTGTAGTTCTTGGACCCAAATTATGAAATTAAAGAACATTTTTGGAAATATGCTCGAGTTGAGTCGAGTTCTGGGATTGGACGATGTGAGGATCCCGAGTCGAACTCTTGCTTTGGACTTTCCGTGGGTGGCTGCTGCTTCTGCTTTCCCGAATCGCTTTATTGTGGATGTGGTAAGACATCAGGGAGAGAGAATTTCTTGGGATTTACCACGTACTCATAACTTAGGGGGGGGGGGGGGTTGTCTGAGAGAGAGCGAGAAAACTTGTTTTTGGTTCTTAACAATGTGTCTACTAAAAATTTCTTTGCAGGACCAACTCGTCTTGTTTGGGAGCCAACACCCACTTTCGGCTTTAGCGTTCTCTGTATGGGGAACTCATCAAAGACAACATTTTCAACTCAGGAGACTTTCCCGCAAAGGCGATTTGGCAAGATGTCATCCCCCAAAAGATCTGTGTGTTCATCTGGATCGTGTTTCATAAGTAGATTCTCGCAGACGACACTCTTAAACGTAAGGGTGAGCAGTGGGTGGTTTTTTTTGCAGATTTGGGTGGGTTTCGAACCACCCACTACGTTGTGGGTGAAGGAAAATGACCCGCACCCACCCAAGCATTACATGTGGGTCGTTTGGGTTTGGTGATTTTGGACGATGGGTGGTTGGGTGGATTCGGTGGGTTTACAAAATATATTTCATATGATCTTATAATTTCAATAGTTTTAAACTTAAATTGATAGTAATTTTCAAAGTAAATAACCTTTAATCCACAAATCAGGGGAATCATTTATTTTACAATATTTATATTGGTAATTGTCCACAAATTACAAAATATTCAACTGATAAACATGATCTAAGCCTAATAATAACCAAAGTTCAAGAAGGCACTAGGCATAAGGCAAACGTTTTGGTCTTGCCTATCGCCTCATTCGCCTAGGTGTTGTGAGCGTAAATAGCTTTTTAACTTATAGTCGCAAATTACAATTTCAAATTGATGGAAGGAATGGAGGACTAATCAGTGGTAGTTTGAGATGGTCATTTTGTGGAAGACAACTATCATTTTTATGACATTTTGTCTACTAGTTATGCTTAAGCGTACCTCCAATTACCTAAACACACCTCACAACACAATCCTTTGATCAGAATTGAGACTACCTTTTATGATTTTAAGGGTTTCATTTTTGATAAAGCTATATATGTAAGAGCTTCGAAGGTTTGAGGTTAAGAAGTTGGATGGGTCGTGGGTCAACCACAATCCACCCACACCCACCCAAAATTTTGTGGGTCACTTATTTTAGAACCCACACCCACCCATATGAACCACCCACATAATAATGGGTGGGTCACTTGCGGGTTGATTTGTGGGTTAAACCACCCAATGCTCACCCCTACTTAAACGGAGGGGATGGTCCTTCCCTAGTCGTTGTGTGCTTTGTGGCGAGAACAAAGAGACAATTCATCATCTTTTCCTCCTCTGCAGTATCTCCCGCGAAGTGTGGAGAGTGATGAGCAATTTTGTTGGAATTCAGTCTCCTACACACGATATCACTTCTACCATTAAGGAGTGGCCGAAGGATACAACTTCAAGTCCGCAGATGTGGTGCTCTAGAGTCTTCCTGCACGCTTTCTCATGGCGTATTTGACTTGAAATAAATACTCGGACCTTTTAGGATGATTACAACTATGTTCTAGGAGCCAGTTTCAGAATCATTTCATCATCCATGATTGGCTTTGCGCTTCTAACAAGATTGACAGATGTGTGGCTGATCAATGGCAGCTCGTCGCGAGAGAGCGGCTGCTTCCTAGGCAGCAAGTTCCCAACTTGGTTGACTAGAACGATGACCCTTCAATGCTAATGCTGACTTCCTAATGCTACTGTGGCGCCTCTTGTATGTTGTTTGTTTGGAGCTTTTGTTGGATTCCTCTGTTTCCTCTGTTTGCTTCGCTTTGCTGGGTTTTGGGGGTGCCAGGCACTTTCTCCTTGTTGCTCTGGCGACCCCTGTTTGCTAAGTCCTTTTGTAACTTTTCCTTTCTTTCTTTCCTTTCCTTTCTAATAAAATTTATATCACCATTATATTTTTTTTTAAAGACTCCCTTTTGGCCTTCCTTTTTTTTTATATGTTGTGGATATTGTGAAACTATGTATTATTGTGGATGTCCATTGGATTCTACATTGGATGCTACTTGGATTCCATATGAGATGTTACATTAGGAGGTATTTACCTCCCTACATTGATCATGGAAATGAATCATTTTCATTGTTATTATATCACATTCATGTGCATAGAAGGGATTGTAAAGGTTATGTATATGTGCCCATTGTACAAAGGAATATGATGAATAATAAGAAGAACACTTCTCCCATTTTCTCTTGTGTCTTTCCTCTCTACTTTTGTTCTTGTTTTCTTCTCCATTTCTATAATTTTCATAACATGTTATCAGCACGAAACTCTGCCAAAGTCATGTTTGGTCATTCTCTCTCTACATCAAATATACTTGAGTAAGATCACAACACAATCAAGGTATGCAAATTTTCATGTCGTTTCTTGTTAGTATGTTTATCTATTTCATTGTCTCTGATAGACTATTTGATCATGTTATTTGTTCATATTATTTTTTGAACTTATTTTATATATGTCGATCTCGTAACATAGAGTTTGTGATTGGACATTATCAAAAAATAAAAATTGCTCTTTTAGTAGCAAAATCATGAAATAAGTACACTATGGATTGACTTATCAATTGTTACATTGGACATATAGAGAAATGAAAGTCCAAAGATCTCAATTTCTCTCGAACTGGAAAAAAGAAGAAAAATGTGTCAAATGAAAGAAGTGGATCTGGTAACAAAATTGTTGGAATATAAGTTACATTTGTGGTGAAAAAGATTATTGGTCTTGTACCTGATGTATGAAAAGAAGTTTTATTGGTTCAAGAATTATTGGAAGGAAAATGAAATATTTGTGTGCCCCTGCAATAGAAATATAATGGAAGAGATTTTATAATAAGAAGTTAATTTCTTGTTTGTTAAAGATGAGAAATATTATATAACTTGATCCAAAGGGTGATGTTTTATTCCCGGAAGCGAATGAAACAAACCATTCTTAAAAGTGAACGGAGCGAGACGCACCATTATAAAAATATAATTTGGTGTTTGGATAACGACAATCAACAAATGTATATTTTCACCGAAAGTGAAAGATAAAATGATTATAAATAAGGTGGACATAACAGTTCATGTAGCAAAAGTCATGATTATATATTGTAACCTTCGTATGCCAAAATGTGTTATGGAACACATATATGTTATTATTATTATTATTATTATTATTATTATTTTGTATGCTTTTGTATAGAATGAATATTCACAAAAGTTAATACTGGTATTATATAATATAGTATGAAAGTAAGAAAAAGGTCTTAAAGAGATTGTGTTTTGTTACTTGAAGTAACTAAATAATATATTTGTGATAACAATAGTACGACAATATTCTTATCACTATGGATATGTGCTTACAATAATTCACTGAATCAGAAGAGCTAATGTTTTGAGAAGTGAAAGAACTAAATTACCAGTTGAAGATGCATTACCGAATTATAAAGATATTCGCATAAACGAATATCATAATTGATATTGCATCAGAAATGTCTTCTAAGAGAACATATATTTAACTTGGGAAATTTGAAACATCAGAAATGTCTTCTAAGAGAACATATACTTAACTTGAGAAATTGTAATAAATGTATATTTAAACATATGAAAGAGTAAACTAGAAGTTTACAAGATCGGATAACTTTTTGTTTTGGCATGTCCGGTCATACCATCTCGGATACATATGTGAAAGAATGATTGAGATATCATATGAAAATTAAGTGAGAGTTTAGAGAATTCATCAATCAAATGATTAATTATGTGATATATGCTCTCGAGGAGAATATACACACTTAAGTATATAATTGAATCTATTGAGATTTTATAAAAGTGTATGGTGAAAAATACACTCACCGTGCCAATCATATATGGCATATGATTTTGATTGATGCATCACCTATATGGTCATATATGTATGTTATCTAACTGCAACTTGATGTTTGCGAGATTAGTTGTCGAATGATAGATATATTTTGATGATTATCCAATCAAACATTACTTCTCTTATGAGAACAAGCTAAGCCTATCAATCTCTTGTCGAGGCATGCTAGTTAGCATATGATATCATTAATTCGCATGAAGCCAACAAATTATCATAAGTTCCCTCCTTTCATACAAATGATTTTGGTTAGGGAACAAACATTTCAAATGCTAGAAATTTTATTACTCCACCATAACACGTTATGGGTTCCATGAGAGCTTATGTTGGACATGGTATTCATTGCAATGAGAGATTTGTTCATGACTCTTTTTGCTAATATCATCATTTTGATGAATTAATTTTCAAACATTAAGGGGGAGGAAAGTAAACAGTTGGTCACAGATCTGAGTTGGAATGATCATTATCTCATTTTGATCCTCAAACTAAGAAAATGAACCCGAAGTTCATATGATGATTCATTAAGAAAAAAACTTATTGATTGCCAAACGCCTTTTACTCACCAAAAGGAGTGACTTTCACATGCCCAATTATCAATGCTCCAATCCAAATTGATGTCCATATTGGACAATCTAATGAGTCTAAATGAGCGCATGAAGCGTGGTAGACCAATCGATTCCAAAGATAAAAATTCTCGAGAAAGGAAGGAGCTATAAATTAAGATGGTCAACTCGAGGATAAAATAGTTGTAGAAGAGTCAAGTCATATAATTGAGATCATAGTTCCAGATAGAAGGTACCTATAAGTTTTAATATGAATAGATCTCAATTAATTTGCTAGTATGAAAAAGCTGGAACCAAAGTGGATTTATTGTCGACAAGGGTTTTGATTATGCTGCAGCGCTGAACATGATAGATACAAAAAGCATCAAAAGTAAAAGTCTAGTAATGCATGCAAAAGAATATTTATTGGCCAATATAAACCAAAACATTAGACTTGTTTGGTAAAAGTTTTGGACCAGAAGTCCTTACACCTGAAGATGTAAAACTAACGGGATAAAAATGAGTTTTGTGCAAACGAGTAAGGAAATTGTGAAAGATATAACACAATTTTTCGTAAGAGGTTTCTCATAGAAACCTGACATTAATTATGCAGAGACATACTTTCTTGTGGTGGATGCAACTATGTTGTACAATTTAAATAGTTTGGCAGTTCAAAGAGTATGAAATTTGCATATTGTAGATATTGTGATAGCCTATTTGTATGAGTATCTTGATAATGATATTTATACGAAAATCTCTGAATGACTAATTTGCCAGAAGCAAACATGTGACGTTCTCGAGAACAATATCGATGGATAAAACAATCTCTTGTATGGATTGAGATAAAATGGATGAATATGATATATTCATCTAAGTGAATATATGATAAAGGAAGTGGTCGAATAAGCCTTACGTGATTAAATTCGAATAAAGTTCATTAGAGCATTTGCATTTGCATTTGGCATGTGTGATTGTGTAATGACATATAGACTTATGTGCGTGATATTGTGGCTTTAGTTTTATGTATGAGTTTTGATTTATGAATGTGATTTGGTTAAGTGATGTTGTTGTGTATGACGTGGCTTTTGGTTGGGACCTTGTAGTACGAAGTAATTGCTAGCATATAATTGTGTTATAGCTAATTTTTATAGTTATTTAGAAGAAAAGAGTGAAGACATTATTTCATAATGATCTTATATTATTTCGATAGAAATATTATTGGAACTATAGAAGAGTTTCGTGAAGCAATAGATTGCTTAGAGAAAGAAATCAAACATGAATGATTTAAGAAGATTCTTTTTGTGGATCAAGAAGAACAAATCGAAAAAGTGAAAGAGCACTTTATATGAAAAATTACATAAGTTCAGCAACCTAATGATCATAAGGTCACTAGAAGTCACAAAGGATTCATTTAGGCATTGAGATAGAAATGAATGATTAGGTTCTGAAGTACCGTATATTGATGTCATTAGAGTGCTAATATATCTTGTTAGCCATACACCATCTAGCATATCATTCGATGTTAGTATATTAACAATATTTGTTTTTTCTCTGTAGATGACAATCAAACAGAGTTGAGCTTATACTTCACTACCTTCAGGTAACGATGAGAACCAAAGATGATTTATTTGATTAGTTATGGTCGTACAACTATCTCATGGAGATTCTAAACAAATCATAAATGCTACATCATGAGATCATGCGCAATGGTTAGCATTCATGAGACATGCTATCATCTTCATGGTTATTATATCACATTCATGTGCATTGATAGAGGAAATTGTGAATGTTACGTATATGTGCCTATAAATAGAACACCTCATTGTACACAGGAACATGATGAATAAGAACACTTCTACCCTTTTCTCTTGTGTCTTTCCTCACTACTTTTCTTCTTGTTTTTTTTTTCTATATTTTTCATAACAGTGGATAAGATGTTCCTCCATATAATTAGATTTCGTTAGGTGTGTAACAATTCAGTTCTGTCTAAATCATATTGTATTAGAGCACAACTATATAAAGAATGAAGGATGGTGAGGAAATAATTTGGATTGCAAGTAAAAATTACTATAATTAATAGAGTTGGAACTGAGCACATTATATTTAATTTATTTGGAAAGTGGCAACCCATGGGGTTTTAGGACAACCCTAAAATTCATTTTTTTTATTATCTAAACAAGTTTATTCACTACAGAAAAATTAATTTGTTGCTTAATTTAAAATATTGAATAAATTACGTATTAAAATAAATCCAATTCTATCTCAATTTATCTACCCAAAAGTATAAGACAATTCCAATAGAAAAAGGTTATCACATCAGCCCATTATTTTTATAAATTTAATATTAAAAAAGGTCAACACAACAAATAAGATTCTTTTTTATTCTTTTTCATATTGATAAATTTTGTGTCACTTTTTATATTAAATAAAATACTTTTATTTGTTTATCAATCAAACATTATTTTTCTTAAACACGCTTTCCTAAAAAGCTCCATATAAAAGTTACAACATAACTAAAAACACACTTAAATTTGAAATCTTACTCTTATTAGTTTGAAATTGCAATTTCAAACTTAACTCAAACTCTCTGAAATTCTGCTAAGTTGTAAAATTATACTAATTTTTCATAATTCATTATAATGGAGAAACTATAAGCTATGTAATCCTAGAAGAGGAAAATCATATGAATGAAAATATTTTTCTAAAGAAACTAAATTTAACTCATCTCAAGAAAAATAAACTACCGGACCATTGGCTTCGTAAGTCATATGTAACTTAAAGAGTCATTATTTTCAATATCTACTAGAATTCAATTTATTGATTGGGTTAGTACGTAAGAGAAGAGTATATGGTTTGTTTTAGAATATACAACTGAATGAAAGAATGTTGATTAAATATAATTTAGTGCTCAGGATAGTTGATGCTGATGCTTATACTTAAAACTCATGCATTGATGAATATGATAATTGAAAGCTATGAGGCAATTATTTATTCTATGACAAGACAAATACTACTACTACACACTTTATAGCTTATAGTGGTGCTATTTTTATATCTAAATACTCAAAATTAACAAAAATGAATGAGAAAGTAGAATGCACTTTGTTACGCGGACGAAGGGAAGGATGTACTTTTTGATGAGATCGTATTCTTATCTGATTATAAAACGGATTAGGGTTTGAGAAAGCCAAATATACCACCTCCTCCTTCACAAAAGCAAACATGGTGCAGAAGTACTTGGGCCAGAAGCCCGAAAAGGACGAGGAGGCCCTGAATCCGAGGCTAAGTCCGATGATAAAAAAGAACAATGATGTGCTTCGGTTGTTGAGGAAGGATCGCTATTGGCGGGATTCAACCATGATTCAATAGTTTCATATCACTTAAATGAACTGAATGAAACGGAGGGTTCAGCTTTACCAATTTCCATCCAAAAAATTTCCAAAGTACCGTGCTGGTGAAGAAGAGCATTTCTTTCTACACTTTACTTCCCTTTGCATCAAGGGTTGATGCACAAAACTCGCAACCAAGAAAACCAATGATGGTTCCTGACACCAACTAAAGGATTATTTTCTACAGTACCCATAATCCGCCAAAATGTGTGAAAGGAGGGGAAAAAACCCAACACAAATAAACATGATCCATTTGGAAAAAGGGATATAATCTTCTCTCCATCATATCTGTTCAAGTTATTGCTGCTCTCAATCCTAACAAAGCAAGGCCACCAACACAGACAAGAAGTTGAACCTCCATGTTCAGGGCTTCAGGGCAACTGCAAGTCCAATCTTGGCACTCTTCTCAATTGCCCTCGTGTCCACCTCCCCAGATATGGTGAAGAGAGACTTCGGGCGCCACGCGTGCTGGATGAGTGCGCTCGCTTTCCCATAGTTGTTCACTCTGCCCTTGACTGTGGTCAAAGGGTCGAGGGCGTGCTGAGTGCCAATTGTCAAAGTGTTCTCGTTGCTGGAGAAGCTGTGAGTCAGCTCAGCACCAACAGCAGTGCTAGTCAACGGGCTCACGGTGTGGTAATAGGAGGCCGTGAGTGTATCTCCCTTGTCATTCCTGCAACCATTCACACAAGTCCACTAATTCATTGAACATGAACCACAAAAAAAAAAAATACCATATGACAAACACAACATAAATGATTTCTAAAAGAAAACGAACAACACGAGCCCTTTCACACAATATAACAAGTGCTCAACTTCAGATGATGAAATCAACGACCATGAAACTAGCAGGCATAGGGGCTTACAAGGTAACAGCAGCAACCAAGTCAGCATTGGTGTAGCTCAAACCAGCATTCAATTTGGTGAAGTTCCCAGAGGCAGTGTCAAAGCAGAGGTCAGTCCCAAGAGCCAACAAATTGTTGCCAACTACGCCAGAGAAGTTAACAAGCGGACTTGCAGTCATACCAATGCTAGTGCTAATCCCAGTGTACTCATGTTGGTACTGGAGTTCCACCTGATATCAACCAACAGAAAATGATCAAAAGTATTGCACTAATTAGTAGGTACTCCACAACGAAGCCAACCAATACAAGAGGCCACAAGTAAGACTTCCATATACGTAGTCATTAACCATTTGATCTTCTTCAAAACAGATCAATCAAAATTTTTTGGGAAGAATTTCTCCTCCACATTAGCCAGTAACTATTCAGAAAAGTGACAACTAGAGAACACTTGACCACAAGGATTAAGGAGCTTTTACCTTGCCAGATCTCTGGTCAGGGACCTTAAAGCTAAAGATTGTCTTCAGTCCAGGAGCTGGTTCATCAATAGTGACTGTGGTGAAAAGCTACAGAGACAGAAAGAAAGAATAGTTCAACTCATCAATCGAACCAGAAGAGCATTTCAATGTACAACCATGGGAACATCAGTGCACCACATGAAAAACATAAAACCACTATGCCATTAGCAAACAAACGCAAGTTTCCAACAACATAACCAGGTGAATATGCACGAGAAACATATCCATGATATAAACTCAAGTAGAGTGGAGCAAGACAAGGTGTAACACGATGATTCTGCATGAGGAACATATGCTGGCAACAACAACCAAACGCAATTTCCAGTAACATAACCAGGTTTAGGACATCAAATTTTAACTAGAGTGGAGCAGACAAGGTAGCATAGTGAGTATGTCGACATATGACCTCAGAAGCCACTACTACAATTTGATGTGGCTGAAAACGCATAAGATGGTAAGAAGATGAGCCCGTACAAGGGACAATAAGGTCGAAATGCATTAATATTCACACATGAAGAGCACAATTCCAATTACATTGCACCTGCTTTCCTGACTTACGTTAGAACTTGTGTCCACCTTGACGTCAGTGGTGATGTTCTTGTTCTTCAGCTGAGTGGTCACATCGGCCAAGATCAGCTCACCTTTCTTGACACCAGTCGAGGTGATTGCCTGTAATGGACAGCAAAAAGTTACCTACCACCACCAGCAAAGTACCGGAAACAAAAGGAACCACAGTGGCTGATCGACTTTTTCAACTTTAAGCCAACAATGAAGAATCAATACGAAGCGCAGACACTAAGAAGAACTACTACACAGTACACACACGCAGCTGATATTCGGAAGAACGGTCCAAACCGTCCTTTAAAGAGCAAACCACATTACACAAGCCATCCATTCCACCCCGTAAACACAAAACCAGAAGAAAACCTAAAAACAGAAAGAAAGAACGGTTAAAAAACGAAGCGGGGCGAGGCGAGGAACGTACGACTCCATTGGCGGTGTAGGTAGTGAGGGTGAACTTGTGGTCCGCCTGGTAATCCCGGTAGAGAAGATCTGCCAAAACGGAGAAAAAAACAACCGTTGATTAGCTCTCGGCAAACACAAACGCAAATCGCTGATCGGACCAGAAACGAAATCGGAGAAACTTCAACGAGTGAGAGAAAAAGAGGAATTCGATCGGAACCCTACCTCTGGCTTTCTTTCCGATATCGGTGTAGAGACCGGGACCTTTCCCCATGATTCCCCGACGAGAGACTGGAATGGACGACGGAGCGAGAAAGAGCGAGAGGAAAGGTTTGGGGTAGGGAAGGGCGCAGAGAGGCTCGGCGTGGAGTATTCTAGAGAGTTTTTTCAGCTAATAACAATTTACGAAGCCAAGGACAACCCTATTTTTCTTTGTCGCGGTCTTTCATGAGGTCCAATCAGGACCGTCGGATCTAGCTTGCTTCCACATATTCGCGTTTTGGACCGTTGGATTATTTACGGGGAAGGGAAGGAAGATAGTTTTTGTCGTTTGCTATTCAAGAATCCGGGGCAGCTATCCCAGCTGGGGCATATTCGTCCTTGCGGTGCGGTTTTCGTTGATCAAATGGATCGCTTTTGGGCCTGAATACCAGAGTCGGTTAAGCAGGCCCAGTAACTGGCCCAGCACGTGACGAATTAACAATTGATATATTATTTTGTTTTCAACCTTTATGACTTCGCAACCACGGAAATTTATTTTCCCCTCCATCCCAGTTAGGTTTCCGAGTTCGTGTGATTCTTTCAGCTCGCAATCATGGCTATGCAAGCTGCTCTGGGTTCTCGGGTCCTGCTAATCGCCGGAGCAGGTAGTTCCCGCCGCCGCTCGATCACCGTTTCTGGCTCCTTTCTCATGTTTGTATCTGTCGATACAGCATCGCTTCTCTGTTCCCCTGATTCGTATCTGACTTAGCTGGTCTCGCTTCCAGGTTATTTCGGTACGGTGTTGATCCAGAAAGGTAAATTATCAGACCTGATCGGTGAGCTTCAGGTAATCTTCGAATTACCTTTGTGCTGTCGATCTGCTCGCGAATTTAGTTAGTAGATTTTGCTGGACCTTGTATCCATAATCTTAAAACTGTAAAATTTTTGTGTGCGAGGTAGATTTTTTTGCTTGTTTGCGTTTCTGTTTGGTGATTTTGGAAGAGAAGTGACGGCTGCTACGTTTTTGTTTGTGTCAGGCTCTAGTGAAGGGAATTGAGAAAGGGGATTCGGATGGCGAGACAGGTCAGGCGGATGTGCTCTCGCAGCAGGTAAAAAGGGGGGATTCAGGCTTTTGTTTGTGCGTAAAATCTGTTTTTAGGATCCCTGTCTGTTGCGAGTTAAGTAGCTTGCATTGTTTCATATGATCTCCTCTCTTTCTCTTGAAAAAATTTGAAGGTGCGTCTATTGGCACAACAAGTCCGACAACTCACTTCGGCGCGGCACATAACGGTTCTGAATACTGGTCAATCAGGTATCGCCTCTACTTTCCATTTAGCACTATCCAATGAGGTTGCTGAACTTTGTACACGTTGGAGTGAATATACATCTAATGAATCAAAACCTGGGTAGTGAAATGCGGTTATGAATTAGATTAGCTGGGAATTTTATCTGTCTGGTGGTTATTGCAGGTAATTTTACTGGTTATATTATTCCAGCAGCTACAGTGGGAGCAGTAGGATATGGTTATATATGGTGGAAGGTAAGTTAAATTGCTTGAGAATGCTTTGATCCCCTAATATAGTCTACTTGTTGTTTCTAGGGAGTGTGGAAATTTCAACTAAAGTTTCCTCTTTTGCTTTTTAGGGTTGGAAACTTTCAGATCTTATGTATGTGACAAAGCAGAGTATGACAGCTGCTGTTTCGAACTTGACAAAGCATCTGGAGGGCGTAACTGATGCTTTGGCTGTAAGTTGTCTCACGTGTTGGATTTTTGTTTGTTTTATTCCTCTCCCGCAATTTAGTAAATTGGTTAGTTGGTTAGTTAGTAAGTTAATCAGGTTATCATTTAATTGGTTGTTTATTTGAGCTTGCTGTGAAGTTTTTGCTTGGACTAGACAAACTGGAGAATTAGCTCAATGATTTGGGGACGTTAGGAGTCTGTTGCTATCTTGTTATGAAATCATTATTGCTTACCTCTATAGCATCTAACAATGATTTGTGCGTTCTTTTGGGCCCAGAAAGCAAAGGAACACTTAACACAGCGCATTCAGGGTTTGGATGATAAGATGGATAAGCAGAATGAGCTGTCTCGGAAAATTGAAAGTGATGTGCGTGATTTCTCTTCCTCGATATATATTTTTTAAACTCTTCCTCGAAACAAAATAACTGATTACCTGCCTCGGTTCTTACTCAAGCGAACACAATACTATTACATGTCTGCCTTTGTCGAAATATGCATTCAATACCTCTATGAAGTGTTAAAGGTGTCATTTTGTCTTAATGCCTTCCACTATTGGATGCAGGTCAATGCTATCAACGACAACATTCTGTTGCTTGATTCTGGAATGGCGAGTTTGATAAATTATGTTAGCGTGTTGGTAGGTTTTACTTCCTAATTTCGTTTTTGCGCTGGTGTTTGTGTCATCCATACTGTTGCTGTCATTTGCTAATCTCTCTGTGTTCCTAGTTAATTGTCATTTTCCTTCTCTTTCGGTTCCTTATTCTGTGATGGTTGTTTTAAGATTCAGACATCACTTCCTTTATTTTGCAGGATGAGAAGCTGGATTCACTGGAGGGCAAACAGGTATTTTTTCTGATCAGCGGATAGATAGATAAAAGCACTTCCTGTAGACATTTAATCTGTTCTAGTAAGATGCGGAAGCGGAACTACTAATTTGGTTCCGGATACAAAGAATCTATTGTGCATTTTTTGGATTCATAAATGAATCTGGTAGTATGTGGTTAATAAGATTTGGTTGATTCTAAGAAGAGCGACATCCCTTCCTCCTTAAAAAAAATCTTTTGTTTTGTATTTCCTTGTTCAAGTCTCACAGGGTTCTGATTTGTTGTTTTTGTGTGACAGAGTCGAGCTAATCTTGGTATTCAGTACCTCTGCAACTTCGTCCAGGGAAAGAAAGTGAAAATGCCCGAGGCCCTGGAGGTTAGCATGATCTCTTTAGCCACTGTGGCAAATAAAATAACTCTCCCCTGTTGCACTTTAAGAATCATCCTTAGGACAGGTCCAGATAAATGCACCTCATATAGGTCTAGCAACGGCTGGTTAATCATCAAGAAGAATGGATGACCTACTTTACAATTTTAGCATTTTCCTTATGACTTAATAGTAAAAAAAAAATTGATACTATGCAGCAAAAATGATTTGTTTTTGTTTCTTTATTGAATTTGTTACAGGAAGAGTTTTTGCCAAGTAGAACTCGTTCAATCACATTCCATGATGCTTCAGGTCCCATGGTAATTATGCTAGTGCTGATGTTGGTTTTGTTATTTCTGCATGTGTTCTACTCATGCACTGCTATAATTCGATATGTAATGAAGTATGTGGTTCGCTGAAAGTTGCATTTTCCAAAACCTATGGATGCTTCTATAGTTATTAATGCATTAAACTTGTTTATCAGTACGAGGGTAAGTCTTAAAGCAGCTGGGATTTACTTCTATCAATCTCAATCATTACGTTAATTTGTGACTTGACACTGTAGGTTATATTATGCCCTGGCCCTTGCTTCCTTCTAGTAGTTCGGTTTGTGAAGGAAATTATAGTTATTAGGAAGTGTTTTCATTGTTGAAGGCCTGTATATGGAAATGACTGTCAGGTGCTTTTGTCTAATGCTTCCATGTCTAGAATCGAGCTGGGAAGGCATTAGGAGATTCTGCTTGTCTGTTTCATTTTTTGCATGGTATACTGCATTCAACATGCTGCTGTCACCAAAGAACGAAAAGTTCTAAGTGAAACACTGATATGAAATTGCAATTTGGCCCTGCATTCTTGCTGTGGGATCAGTTTCTTGGGCTGATCATTCCGTTTCCATTACATACACAGGGTCTTAAGGCGCTGGACTGCTTTTCGCGATCTACAAGTGTTCCTCCGGTAACTGACGGCGTCCAACTGAATGGAGAAGAGCCGCAGACCCCTTCACGTCCTCTATTGAGGTAAATGTCCCGACTCACTGCTCTGTTGACGTTGGAACCCTGTCGAATTTGGACCCTCCTGCTCATCCTGGCGTTGTCTTTATAATAAATAAATACAGCGAGTTTTGACAATGATGTTTGAACGTCTGCAGGTATAACTCAGCTAAGGTTTGATCAAGAGGCTACACAACATGCTGGTTGTAAGACTACGTAATAGCTAAAATAAAAGATGGAAAATACTGACTGCAAAGTGTTTTCTTTATCTAAAAGAGTTGGTTTTGCGCCTACTTAATTCATTGGTTGTTTGAAGTGTTGTAGCTTTCGGATGTATGTTGTTTTAGTACTGTTTCAGACATGGTTGGGTTGTGATCTGGGAAGTTACCCATCTAGTATTGCTTATATATATGACAGAAGTTGCATAGCTAAGGCTTTTCGTAATCTTACGTATGTGAACAATGCGGATGGGAGAAAGGGAAAGAAAAAGGACGAAGAACGCAATGTAATTTAAAGATATTGTGTAGGCTAATTAATCTGAACCGCAGGATGAAATTCAACTCGAGTTTTCTTTTACGAATATTGGGGTGAAGTCTATGTAGTTTGATTAAGAAGTATTTGCATTCTTGCCTTAGATAAAATTCAGCTTTTCTCGCATATAAAACTATCAAAAAAAAAAAATATCCAAAATACCACTATACTTCCCAAACCATTAGGACGAATGTACCCAAATCTTTCCGAAGTCAAACATCTTCCCTTTTCACCATTTTCACCATGTAATTTTCTTTCATAATTAGCTTGCACCATGACTGAAAAGCAAGAAGAAAAAGGAAATATTAGAAACTATCAACTAGACTTATACAGAGATGTTCACCTGACCTTTATTTTTAGATTAATAAAGGGCAGGCAACAATCTGATGGCAACAGCAAGTTAAAACAATGAACACAGTAAAAATATTATTAACTGACCTGTCTGTGTTTACATACATGACCAAAAACTTTGGGTTTCCAGCTTTTTTTTTTATCTCTCAGGACTGAAATTTACAAGTACACGAAACAACATTCTTGCTTGCTTATTCTGATATTCTTACTCAATACAAGCGTGTGCAAATTATACACAAATCGGATGGTGCATTTTCCCCAAGCATTAAAAAAAATAGCAAAAGAGGTTCTGAAATATGTTAGTGAAAAAAGTGACAGTAACAAAGTGGACACCAAAAACAAAAAAGCTCAGTGGAATGGAGAAGGGAGGGTTAGTGATCCATCCCAGAAAGACTGCCCTCCTGCTGATGAGTTGAACAATGGCAACAAACTCTCTTCCTCCTTCCACTCCAAATTCGACAAACCGGCGGCCTCCTTGCCACTGCCACTCCCTGATGAGTACATCATGAAGGAGCTCTGGCTATGGCTGATCCCGTTGCAGTACATCTCTGCTGCCTCCTCATCCATCACTTCCTCTTTGTGTGTCCCAGTCCCACCCATTGAGGGGAGCTGGAAATTCTTTAGCTCAGTGGAGAGATGATGGTGGTTATTACTGTTGCTACCACTACTGCTGCTACTGGTGTTCAAGTTCTTCTCAACGAGTTGTTTGAACACTGATGACTTGAGCAGGAGGCCGAGCGCCGATGGGGAAGTAGTTGTGGATGATGCTAGGGATGAAGATGGTGACGACGACGACAGGCAGGTGTTCTTGTTGCCACTTGGAGGGGAGAACATGCCTGCTGGTCTTGTCTGGAAGAGTTCCTGCTCCAGTGGGTTCTCATTCAGATTGTCTAGTATTCTAAGGCTGGAATGTAGAAGTGGGAGGTGGTGGTGATTTTGTTGTGTTGTTGTTGCTTTGTCAGGTTGGAAGTAGGCCATGGAAGGGCAAGAAGAAGAAGAAGCTGCTGCTGCTGCTGCTGTTGTTGTCAGTGGGAAGTTCTCCAGATCCAATTTGGATTCATGGTGTTGGTGAACATCAGTGGAAGAAGGGGTATCAGATTCTGGTTTCAGCCACCTGATGTATGTGCTGAGATCGAAATTCGTTACAGCATTGATTCCGCGGTATTCGATTGCTGCTATGTCATAGGCTCTAGCTGCCTCCTCTTGGGTACCTGGAACAACAGCCCCAGCAAGAACCAGGTTACTTATAAGCGATTTGTTTTTGTTTGAGTTTCACATGTTTCATAATTCTTGTTACAGGAAGAAGAGTTCAGTTTTGTCTTATAGACACTTACTGTAGGTTCCAAGGTACAAGTACTTGTTCCCAAAGACTCTCCCTATCCTTGCTTCCCATCTTCCATTATGGTGGTGCCTGTCAAAGGAAATCAGCCACCTTAGCCCAAAACACATTACCCAGAATTTATATTTCGTGTTAGCGAACAGATTTCGGTTAGCTGGATTGTTTTCTGTTTTGTTTACCTTGCAACCCCTCTGTATTTCGACACACCTCTTGAGAATCCACTGCTTCTTCTGGTAAACAAAACAAATCAAGCCTTTGGTTGATCATTCTGTTAGGACAGAAGGCAATAATTCAATTCACTTTGGAGACACTTTTCTTGTTTTTACCTTCTCAGTGAGGCTAGGTACTCCTCTTTTGTCACATTCTTCATTATTTCAAGTTCACTCTCATAGTCAGAAACCTGCAAAAGAACTCACTGGAGACATTATAACCAGAGTAGAGTGTAAGTCTCAATAATCAAAATACCAAAGTCCTAGAAGTTTCTGTTTTGGGGTTCATACAGGGAAATTTGTGAAGGCTGACAGTCCCCAGTACTTGAGAGCTGCCAGATCATAAGCTCTTGCAGCAGATTCCTCTTCATCATAAGCACCTGTCAGGAAAAAAACAGACAAACAAAAGAGTGCTAGATTAGTTCATCTTTCTTCCAGGACAAGGCATTGATTGGTGAAATCTATCCCATTTTCAGTTTCAAAGAGTGAAGAGTTGGTGCTACTCACCAAGATAAACTGTTGCATGCGAAAGCGATCAAGCAACCACATGAAAAGAAGATAGAATGATTTGTTAATCAGCCAAAAAATGCATTCCTGAAAGCAAAGAGAGCACACCACAAAAGGAAGCAACTTTATCAGTAACTACCAACCTTGCTTCCCTTTCTTCTTCTGGGTTGGATTCCAGGACCCCTTATCCCACAGATGAGCTTCATATCTTCCAGTCCATCTATGCCTGTCAGAATCCCAAAATCGATCAGAACGAATTTTAACGTACCACCCTTTGGTCAGATTGGGATTCCAAGCTGAATGGAGCTCAAAGAAGCATGAAATTCAGAATCCTGACACAAACCTGCTAACTCCCCTGAACCTGGAGCTTCTCTTCACAATGGGAGCAGTTGTAGTACTAGTCGTCGTCGTTGTAGAAGAGGAAGCTTGATTGGTACCTTCTTTCAATGCTGCTGCTGCTGCTGCTGAAGAATTCGGCTCTCTTCGTCGCCTTTTAGGAAACTTAGCCTCCACAACCACATCACCTTCCATAGAGCCGAACCTGCGCTTCACTACAGGAATGTTCCCAGGGACCATCGCCATTACTTTGCTTGATTCTGCCTAGGTTTAATAGGAGAGAATGGAATGTTTGGCTTTGGGTTTGCAGTTAGCTGGAAGTATTTATACATGGCCTTGTAGCTTCCCTCTTTATTTGTTCCATTCTTAGTTTGGATTGTGCTGTAATAACAAAAACACTGTTCATTTTTCCAACAGGACAAAGCTAACGATGTCTTCAAGGGAAAGCCAGATGAGATGACAAGAAACAGTGGGAAGTGGTGGGCTGTAGATACTGCTGCTGCTATTAATTAGCCAACCGAGAAGGAGCTAGCTTCACAATTAAACCCTTTTGTTTTATAATCATAATTTACCTAATCTTCTTGATTCAGATTCCTACTGTCAACAATGAGCTATGTAATTTTCTCGGAATCATCACTGTTTATTTTCCATAATTATTTGACAGGCTTTTCATTTTTATTTGGAAAGTAATTAGCTAGTATTATTTTATATTATCTTATCTTAATTAAGATGGCTGGGCAGACTAGTACTTCTCCACTGAATATATATCTTTATATTGTGATACACACTAAACTTGTAACATAATATATAGGTATAATTTTCATTATCAGTTTGTACCTTTACTAATATGGAACAAGTTCAATTAACACCTCGAAGCATAAATACTTTAAAGTATAGTAGAAGGGGTCTAGGAATAGATCTTTTGTTTAATTTTTTTTCTCAAATTTAAGTTTTAGTTAAAACAAACACATTTTTAAACATTTTACTGTTCACTCTAAAACCTACAAATTGAATTAAACCTAAAATTTATCTTTAATTTTTTTTCTCACTTTACTAGAAAACAAACTATCAATCGTCCCATAAGGCATAAACTACCTTCCTATACAAAAAAAAAACTCACTTTTTTTATCAACTTACTTTTTCTAAACTCTTATCAAACATATATTTTCGCAAACTTCACAAAAGTTTAACAAATTTAAGAAAAAGTACAAAACATGCATCTTTGACAAACTCGACAACAATATTTCAATTGCGCATGACAAATTTTGCACCACAACACCAAGGGTATAATTAAGGGAAACGGTTGACGGTTTTGGAATAGGGATGCCAATTGTACCCACAACGTTGGCTGTCCAACCCTTCCTTACCCAGTCAACAAGAAAAATCATTGTATTGACTAGGTATGGAGTGACATGAGTAGTACGCACAAAGAAAGTGGCAGGAATGAGTCGGACATAGGTTTAGGTGTTCGTGCCCCATCCCCTATATCCATAATTGCCCTGCAAGTAATTCATATTTTATCTACGCCCAATTACATGTCATTCGATCTCTTCCTCCTCCATCTTTCACTAAAATTTAAAATAGTATAACACCAAAAACCTTCATCTTACTTTTCTAATTCAATTAATACATATATGCCACCTTTTATCCCTAAAATTTCAGAAGGATTTAAACTTTCGTTATGTTTCTCATACTTTTTGTGGTTCATATGATATATAACTGTGTTTAACGTTCTAGCTCTAAATCGTACGTGTCCTCCACTTAATTACGTTAACTTTAAGTTGAGTTTGGTTTGGATTTGTGAGGAGAGGTTATTATCCACAGGTATCTAAAAACCGCGGGGATGAGAATCATGGGCGGACCTAAGGCAAGGGAGGGTGTGTCGTCCGACACACCCTCGCCATGTGTGATGGTGGTCCTTTCATTAAGGGAGATCCACCAGAAAACTTGCTTTTAAAGTTGGTGTTGACTTTGTCTGTTGCAACTGTAAGCTGCAACAAAATATTTTTCTATGAAGATAATCAAGAACAATCTTCAAAATTGATTGAGTGACCAATTTATGAATGATTGTTTAGTTATGTATATCGAAAAAGATTTGCTTTGCAGCATAAGTGATGAATGTATTTTAGAGACATTTCAGTAGATGAAAAGTCGTCGTGATTCATTGTAAGCATGACATTGTGAACTTTATTAATTAATTTCTAATAATATCTTATTAAATTTTTTAATTCTTATTGTACTTTATCGACGACACACCCTCCGACAATCCTGGGTCCGCCACTGATGAGAATGACAATGAGGATAATAAACTTCCACCATATGAGGATAGGGAGAGTATGGATTTACGAATTAAAAATGGGAATGAGGATTGATTGAGCGATATCCACCAAAAACTCGCCCCATTGCCACTCCTAGCTTGGAGGCATGTTTTTTTGGCCAAGTTCATCTACTTTAAACCATCTTCAAATTAAAAGAAAGGGGAGAAGGCAAATTTGAGAAGGAAAAACTTTTCGGATCGTGTCTTGTCACTTAAGGTTGAATGTTACTCGTGAATCATAGCTATTGCTCGATGTATGATTTGCCTAAGATGTCACATACACCCCTCTTTGGGATGCCCTTTTTGAGGTTTGTCTCACAATCGCCCAAGAAGGACGTGAAGAGGCTCTGTTACCACTTGTAACATTCTGATTTTTCTGACGAAGATATATATTGCCCACTATAGGTTTATCATGCAACGCGACTTTACTTTTGGGGGAATTCAGATGACTTCTTGGGAGGTCACCCATCTTTGCACTGCTCCATAATGAGAACGTTTTACTTCACAATTATTACACGAACTCATTCATTTCACCTAAAAATGTGTGTTGTCCAAGGTTTTCAAACTGGTTTGTACCGCTATGCCGGTTTGGCAAGTGGTATGGTCCAACGGTTAGTATAACCGATTTATGTTAGTTCATGCCAATTTTAGCAAAACATGTAGGAAAGTGAAAAATCATTAACACTAAATGAATTTAGGCATATGTAGAAATAGGTCATGTTGGATTCTAGTATGAATCGATCCATGAATCCACCAATCCAATTGGATTTGGATCAAATGGATTGGATTTAAATGGATTGGATTAGGTGGATATTTTTAATGGGTTGGTGGATTGGATTGAGAATTGCCACCTCTACAAACTTTGATTAGGGTGACACAAATGTCTAAAATATCTCTAATAATTTCACTTTAGATTTTTTCCCCGTTATTTTATATAGTCAAATAATTCTAATAATTTGACTTTGACGAGACCCAGAGAAAAAAACCAGGGGATAGAACTGACATTTTTCCTCCCATTTGCCGATGTCGGGTCGTCTAAATCTTGGTTCAACCATGATTGACGATTTTTCAATGAAAATTTTAACAGAAGGGCATGTTCGATCATATTTCCAAAGTATAGAGGCATGTTTGATGTAAATAAAATAGTAGAGGGGCATGTTTGGTAAAATAACATAGTAGAGGGGCATATTAACCTATAACCCTAAAAGAAATTAACTGAAAAACATAAATTAGCATGTATATTAGCACGATTCGTTTAAAAAAACAAAGTAACAAATCTAAAAACCTAAATTTGTGAGGGTATGGAATGGAGTAAAAACTTGATTGATAACTATAATCATTAAACTTGATTGATAACTATAATCAAGTCCTCCACCCAAGTTTAATGATTATGTGGGTCATGGTGTTGATTCTCTTATTGATCCTAGATGTACAAACAGACTCAGGGTGATCCCGTGTGGGATCATGGTATGAAGAAAGAACTTACGGAATAATACGTAGACTTTGGTGCCTCCCTCCTCCATCTACATCTGTTGTGGGTTTTCGTTGGGCCTATACTATTAAGTTGAATCATGACGGTTTCATTGATCGCCATAAGGCACGATTAGTTGCTCAAGGGTTCACACAAGAATATGGTGTTGAATACAGTCGGACGTTTGCTCCAGTGACCAAAATGTCCATTGTCCGGACCTTTTATCTGTTGCCACTTTACAAAATTGGCCTCTTTATCAGCTTGGTGTCAAGAATGCCTTCCTTCATGGCGATTGGGAGGAAGTTATTTACATGGAACGTCTGTCGGGTTATACAGAGGGTACAATAGATCAGGTTTGTCATCTTAATCGGTCTCTTTATGGTCTCAAACAGGCCCCCGCGAGTTTGGTTTGAGAAATTTCAGTCGATGATCACTAGCTTGGGTTTTCAACACAGCCTCAACGATCCTTCTTTATTTACTCGAACCTCCTCTGTTGGAATTGTTTGCTTCCTACTATATGTGGACGATATGATTGTCACCGGTACTGATTCAGTTGGTATTCAGCACCTCAAGGATGGGTTGAATACGTCTTTCAGTTTAAAAGATTTGGGCGAACTCTCTTATTTTTTGGGACTTGAGGTGACTCGTAATTCCCATGTTGTTGTCATAAGTAAGAGGAAGTACATTTTCGATCTTCTCAGTGAGAAAAACTTTAAAGACTGTACACGGTTGCTAATCCGATGGAGCTCAATCCCGACTTAGTCGTGACTCCGGGGCTTTGGCTATCGATGGGACTTCTTATTGTAGCATTATTGGCAGCCTCATCTACCTCTCTGCTACCCGACCTGACATCTCGTATGTTGTTCAACTTGTTAGTTAGTTCATGTCTTTATGCTCTTGTTGTAGTTCATCGTATTCTCCGTTATCTGCATGGTACACTGAATGTTGGCATTTTTTTCCTGTTAATGGGGGCGCTTGTGTTTCGTGCTTATTCTGACTTCGAATTTGCCACCTGTGTTGATACCCATCGTTCTACAACTGGGTGGTGTTTTCAGTTTGGGGATTCATTCATTTCTTAGCACTGCAAGAAAACAGGTAAGGTCTCCAAGTCCTCCACTGAAGCTGAATACGCTCGATGTCTGATGTCCGAGCTTGTCTGGCTCCGTCGCCTGCTCGCTGACTTTGGTATGACATCCTATTCCTATGGATATGTTTGTTGATAATACTAGTGCTATTCCTATTGCAGTTAATCAAGTATTGCATGATCGCACGAAACATATCGAGGTTCATGTCCATTACTTTCACGACTTAGTTCGCGATGGAGTGCTTACTACGCATTACATACGTATTGAAGATCAGGTAGCGGATCTCCTAACCAAGGCCTTCTTGTCGAGTCGTCACTGGTATCTGTCAAGCAAATTGATTCTCTCTGGACCACATCAATTTGGGAGAGGCTGT